TCCCCGTCCTGCATAGCCGCTTGAATCTCCCTAAGCAAATCTCCCAGCTCCCGCAATCTGTAATTGTCTCTGTTTGATATTCTTGGAAAGTTCTCCAGTTTCCTGAAGAGAGAACTTTCTACCATTTCCGGTGAGCCGTATGTTTCAGAAAGCCTTTTCCAGATAAGTTTGAGCCCTTGCCCTGGGTAGTTAATGTGGACGGCTCTAATGCGTCTTGCGTGCTCGGCTGACTCACATCCCAGCCATCTTACTAGTAAGTCCATTTCCTCGCTTGGAGAAAGGTCAAGGTCTTTAGTAGCATTCAAGAACGATGCTCTCCATGCTCTGAAGTACTCTGGTTGATCGTTAAACTGTGTAAGGCCAGTAGACACTAATTCACGTCTTGCAATGAACCTGACTACATCAGACATTTGATTGTTGGCATACAAGTTAGTACTTGGCGTTGTTTGAAAAAAGGCATGTGGCACCTGTCTGTCTCTGCTCCTCTCTCCACTATCTTGACCCGCTGCAGCATATGCATGAGGACCGTCCTTTGGTGGCTGTGAGAATGCCTTACGTCGACTAGGAAGTGTAAAAGGTATACCAATCGGCTGAGAAATGGCAGGGTTTTGTATGCTCCCTGCGTTTACTGCCTGAAAGCTGGATGGAGTGGCATAGAAAGCACTCTGGCTTTCCTGCGGCACATAAGATGGAGTAGTCTGTGGTGGTTGCTTTCCTGAAAACCCTTTGTCTTTGTTATCATAAAACGGGCCATCCAGGACTGGCATCTCAGCTTCCTCCTCACTGGCTATCTGTTTTAAAACGTAAGCCTGCGTGCGTTCCGATTCATCCTCTGTAGATAGTTCCGTTAAACTGGATTTTCTTGCGCTTCCTAATTCTGCAGCTGTTTCTAAAGCCTCTGCCTTCGCTTGTACAGCGGCAGCTCTCTTCTCCAGTCGTAAAGCCTTTAATGAAACCTCAAGTTGCACTTGTTGCATTTTCAGCTCACTTTCTCTTTCAGCAAAGGCCATCTCTGCTTTAGTTGCTTCAGCCTCTGCCCTCGCCATTGCAGCAGCAGTGACCACCGCCGCCGGGCCACGTGAGTAATGTGACGAACATGAAGCCCTCGACGCCCGCCAACTTGATCCAGACTTGAAGCTCGGGTCGGACATTGCTGACGCCCATGAACTGACTTGCTCCCCGCCGTGGAGTCATAAACTGGAAGTTGATCACTAAAGATAGTCGTTTTACTGTTCTGCCCTCTGCATCAAACGCCTTG